ATTGGATAATAATATTTAAAAAAACTAAAAACCGCACAGAGGAGTCGCCTTTTTTTTTTTTCTTTTTATTTATGTACTGTTACCACTAGTTTTATCGTTTGTTGTTAAACCTTTTTAGGTATTTTAATGTAAGTAATTATGTAGCTTTTTTCCTCTACGGTTATTTTGTATGTTATTCTGTATGTGAACAAATAAAAAAATTTTAAAAAAAAACGTCAAAATTTACATCAGCCCCAAAAGTGGACGGATACCAAAGACATTTCTAGCGTTCAATTTGTTTAAGAAGGACAGTTTTCGTCATTCAACCTTGCTATCACTTTTCAACAACCAGCTTGGCTTGACCTCATGAGGAAAAAGAATAATGACCTTCTTTTAGTAGGAGCTTGAAAAATTTTGAAACAGACCTAAATGAAGATACGTCGTCAGGAAAAAGGTATGAACCATAAACGAAACGACAGTGTTTTTCTGGGATACTTGCGAACTATTACTAATTTGCACTCTTACGGACCACGTACATGCTTCAAAAAGGCGTACTTTGAAAACTTTACGGCTTTATTACTACCTTGGTTAGGATATTGACGAAACTGCAGGCTTGCTCGGAATGTCCGAGTAAATACGTGACGGGTGAAGTAAGGTAATGACTATGACAACAACCGTAGTTGCTTTTTGACTGTAAATGAGTAGTCAGTCGCAGGCTGGATCTCCTCTCTACAGCTCGTGTTCACTAACTGTTGCAAACTTGGGCACACATGTATCTCGGAGATCTGTGCGTTCAAGTTTTATTTTGTTTCTTACCTGTCACCTTTAGGAAGACATAGCAGAAGATCATTTTCCTCTTGCCGGCAATCCCGAATAGGTAATACACGATTTAGTTAATCTTGCCCGGTCACCGGATTATAGTCAATGTACTAAAGGAAGATAATTTCACGTATGAAATTATGACTGAAATAAGATATATTACAAAGAATGACTTCATGACAGCTTATGGAGTACTTATGAAGACAGTTTTACTTACCACTTGGTCCAAAATAAGCCTCTTTGCACATGCTATCTGCTCTGCATTCCCGCTGACCGTAAACCCTTCCTCTTTACTGCCAGTTGGTGACCTTACTTGTGCCCCAGATTTCTGCCTTATGTCTTGTATTACATGTCCGTCCTTGCCGATGACATGACCTTTGAAATCCTTTGGAACTGGCACAAATTCACTCAGCATTGTCTCTGTGGTTGTCTACGGACCACTACCTGTTATGAGATAATAGCACAAAAACATGCAAGAAGGTTTTTTATCGATTATGTATCTCAAAATAATAGATGATTACAAGGATTGAAGAAAAACCATGCATTGCTAGAGCAAGGTCTCCTGAAGACGACAGCATGTCGGCTGCCGAGTGAAGGATTCAATTGACGTTCATAATTTAAATGATGGTCTTGTTTCAGTTTCATGCATAATAGCTAGAGATATCAAATTTTTCTCCTTTACGTAGAGGTTATCAAGGTAAGAGAGTGAATCCCCCATATAGGTCTTTTACCAAGGTAATCCCTCTTAAGTTATTTTTAAACATGGTACCCAGTTCTTCAGAGGATGTTACTCGCGCGATGCGTGGACAGCCCAAGCGACTTTCTCGAAACTACGTGAGACCAAATGGCGGGTTTTGCAAAAGTCATTTTATGTGTTCTGATTTTCAAAGACGTTTCACAGCACAGATGTTTTCTGCACTCTCAGCCGTCTTTCTTTGTGCTTGTTTGGCTGTTAATTCTCTTGAAGTCCATTCGTTTTTAGGGAGTTTAATAGGCAAATTACAACGGCAACGGCAACGGCAACGGCAGCGAGTACAGTGGCTGTGTACTCGTCCGTTACACTTTTTTGTTCATTTCTTTGCCATTCTTCACAAAACAACAACTTGAAATGATCAAATCATGCGTATTCGAGAGAACGTGAACTACAACGGCCATACTTTTTCGAATTTTGACGCCGCCTTACCATATCCTGATCGGACATCTCTGACAGTGGGAGACAAACTGTACTAATCTCAATTTTTGCGAGATTCGTAGGTTGAAAATTGTTTGCGCAGGGAATGTCTGTCTCTTATTTAAATTCTTTTATTATATAAGAGTTAGTGGTATACCGAGTGTTACTACCCAACTGCAGCGAATACCGTCCAAATAACAATACAAATATACAGCGATATTGTACAGTTATTTGTACAGTAGAAAACCTGTTTGCCGTACAGGTCGGCGCGCGCACGCAAACCTGTCACACTCTCCCTCTTTTCATTGACAAATTTATTGACTACGGTAGTTGGATAATAAATCTCTTATTAGATATTTTGGTATAGTATTGCTTTATATTAATACGGCTCAACTCGTAAAAATGTACAGCGATACTAAACACCAAGACATCTAATAAAATATATTAATCCTTTTCTCAGTTCGTGAGCGGGCGCAATTCAACAAATCCTGCAATCTGATTGGTTCCTGGTGCGGGCGGAATTTTCTCATTCGGACCGCCACAGCGGGCGGAATCCGTCGAGTTGATCTATTTTCGTGAACTAATTAACGGTCATCGTCAATCTCTCGTCCTTCTACACTTCCACCGACGATTAATCAACTCAAGTTTATCTCTATTCGCCTTTAAATGACAAGGAAAGTCACTGTTAGTAAATTCAATTGAGTTTTTTGAGGTTTTGAGAGTGTTTGGCTGTTTGTAGCTCGGTGCTGTTATGGCGCGTAATCCTGTGTCTCTCTTTGTACAATTTTAAGTAAAATATGAGACAATTTCAGTCGAGTATACCTCTCTGATCGTTGCTGTATTTGAGAGAATTTCTGTGGAATACACGTAACGAATTTCCTCGCTATCTGCTATTCAATTTAAGATAGAAAAAATCTGATTTCGAGTGATTCGCAACGACTCACAGAAATTGTTCTTGTAGCACAACTTCAAACATTGCACGAAAATTCACACCGGAAAAACACTTTTGGGGAACTTAACTGGTGAACTAAATGCAACTAACATAAAGTAGTTCGAAATAAATGTGTTCTTTAATACATCTTTCTTTGTATAGTATCTGAGTTACTCGCTCGTTCGCCCGTTAGATTTTTTTACGAATAACATATATGTATTAAATTGATAAAAACGATATGATATAATCACTTATAATCCATCAAATATTTCCCCTCGCGCACGATTGGTCTTAACACGTCACGTGACCGAATATTCCCCACCTGAAACTGGGGAAATCCGAGAATATCCGAGAATATTCCCCAATTTTCAAAACTGCGCGTGTTCCAAAAACGATTTGAAGGATAATAAACACCTTTATAATCTTGCTAAACACCTCATAACGAAGCCTTCAGCTATCGCGGAAGAAAAGAAACAATTGTCATCAGTACTTGTTTCTAATGGATACCCTTCCTCATTTGGACAGAGGCTCACGAAAACAACAAGAGGAACAGCTAACCAAGAACCGACACAGGAATTTAAATTAAGTGTGCTTTTACCCTATGTCAAAGGTGTATCAGAGGTTCTTCGCTGCCGCCTACAACAACGAGGCATACGCACTGTCCTTAAATCTGAAACAACTCTTAGGTCCTACTAAGTGCGACCTAAAGACACCCTTGAACCAGCAAAACAAGACGGTACCAACAGCGAACAGCGTCACAAAGTCGGAATAATAATGCAGATCGAAATGCACCAATAACAGCGAACCAAGGTGCTACAAATAGCGACACGCAACAATTGACCTTATCGCATGATAAAGACGAAAAGTCGCGATCACTGACTCAAAGTGACTCCATCGTGAGACAAACGAGTGAAAATTCATCTATCCTATCTTACACCACGATTAATAATGTACACATCTTTAATGACACAATACCCTCCATTTGGCGCGAAAATATGTTTGGGTAGTCCTTGGGCATTATCTGTTCCTCGAAGCTCGCAATTTCCCTCGAGCTACGCTC